CACCAATTTTTACAACATGTTGTGCCAAAGGCAAGGTTTCTCTTCCTCCTATTGAGGAATTACCACATCCTCTCAACATGCTTCTTACCAGAACAGATTCAAGTGCACGTTTATTTAGGAAAAATATTAGGTCATACAATTCAGCTTTGGCCTTTACATCTATGGGTGCAAAGGTTGATAATAGTATAACAGGAACAAGTGGTGTTTACAGCTTTCATGTTCATGGAGAAATGTATCATAGCATAGGCACAATGCTTCCTGACAATGAAGCTCACCCTCAATTTGCTCAAATATATGTGTATGATACTGAGCATGAATTGCAAAACAGGATGAATGTAATGCCTAATCTTGATCCAGCTATTTTTGAGGAGCTTCAGCAAATGTTACATGATGTGAACCCATATTGTGAAATGTTCAAACAAGCTGGAGACATTGTAAGATTAAATCCATCCTTGGACTTACGAATGGCAATCACAGATAGTAGAAAACAAGATTCTAGACGTTACAATACTCCAACAGCATCAGAAGTTGCAGTCATTATGATTGGAGATGGACAAGGAGCTGAACCGTTGGAACGAAATATTGTGCTACAATTGCATGAAGGAGGATTACAAAGAATATCAGAAATACACTGTGCTTATGAACCATTGCACTATGTTCTCATGTTTCCCAGAGGTGAAGATGGGTGGCATCCTTACATTCCTGTAAAAGAATCTATAACCTTTGATGACAATGAGGCAAGTGCTACAGAAAAACATGTTAGTGCAATGAATTATTTTGCATACAGACTTCAACTAGGTCGGCCAGGTGAAGCAGTAGTCCTACACCGATTTGGAAGACTTTTTCAACAATGGATTGTTGATATGTATGCAATTGTAGAACAAATGCGTTTGAATTATTTGAAGCATAACCAAAAGCAGCTGCGCTCTGAACTATACAGTGGATTGCAGGATGCAATGCATGCACAAGATAGTATGCTTGAATCATCAAATACAGGACAGCGGATAATTTTGCCATCAAGCTTTACAGGAGGACCACGCCAAATGCATCAACTTTATCAAGATGGAATGGCTATTGTGCGAGTATTTGGCAAACCTGATCTTTTTATTACAATGACCTGCAATCCACAATGGCCTGAAATTACTAATGAGCTTCTTCCAGGTCAAACAGCACAAGACAGACCTGATTTAATTGCCCGTGTATTTAATATGAAGTTAAAAGTGATGCTTGGAGATATTTTAAAAGATGATATTTTTGGAAAAGTGATAGCTTAC